CTGGTATTGGATAGGACACACGTTGAGAAAACCTGAGAACAACACAACTAGAATGTCTTTGCAATGGAACCCAAAGGAGCATAGAAATAAAGAGAAGACCAAAAACAACACATGGAGAAGGGGGCTAGAGTGTGAAGTTGAAAAGATGGGGAGTACATGGGAAGGCTGCATGCCTTAGTTAGTTGAGTTAGTTCAGGCTTTTCGTTTTTTTTGAAGCCCTGCTCTGGCTCTTGCCAGGGGCTGCAATACAGCCCGACCATAAATATGGTCTAATGGCTGAACGCGGTTTCTGGGACCTCTCCACAGTGATCCTCATCCACATGGTGGCACTTTGTGTCATCGGGTGTTTGTCGCTTATGTTATGTCCTAGTGGGGTGAAAATCTACTACTACTACTACATCTTGTGCAAAAATATGTGCTGGTTGTCCCAAAGTGGAATTTTTTTAAAATGTAAAGCCCCACCCTAGCTTTTTCCGGGGGTCCTGAATATAGCCGGGTCATAAAATATAGGGCCTCACGGCTGAGGGATGTTTCTGGAACCTCCCCACGGGTGATCCTGATCCCCATGGTGGCACTTTGTGTCACCAGGTGTTTATTGCTTGTGTGATGTCCTGGTGGGGTACAACTACCTACCTCCTGTGTATAGGAACTAGTTCAGCACCGCTGGCCTCATCCATCAACATTTATTATAAGGTTTCTCTTTATTGTCTTCCCTTTCTCAACTCATTTTGTTTCCCAATATCAGCGTTTGTTTTGTGACTGACTGCCAAAACTGCAAAATATTTCATCATTTCTTTTCTCTTACAACTGTTCATGCCAGTAGAACTAGATGATGAGACTTTCTTCGATTTTATCAAATTAGAAAATTAACATCATGTAATATTAACAAAAGGTTCCCTAAATCCTAAAGTGAACACCAGTGAACATCATAGGTAATCTTAACCTGGCTTGAAGGAGCAGTGAAAGGCAGATCTGCATATCTTATTTTCATTTGACTTACTGGGTCTGAACAGAATGGACCAAGAAAGAAAGATAATAAGGCTGAAAATGGAGACTTTGATTATTTCGAATGAGGTAGATTTTAATTTCTGTGTGGCTATGATGAAATACAAAGTTGTCAATCAGACATATCCCCCATGTGGGTTCCGGGGCCCCATTGTAGGGAAAACAAGAATAGACCCACTGCCTCCCAAAAAGCATGTCGTAAGAGTCGACTAATTGGGGCGCTTCCTTTGAAGTCGGAGTGCATCTGCCGGAGAGGCAAGGAACCAACAGTCTGTATTCAAGAGAATGAGATCTGTAAAACTGATGCACACGCAACACTCAGGTTCTGGAGCAGGACTGCAGTTCAGTAGTGGACGAGCAACCAGAACTTTCCGCCAGAGTTTACAGCTGGTAAACGCAAAGAAGAAGAAGAATCAGACATATGACAGTGATCAAATTTTGGCAGTTTCAGCACATAGGCGCCCCCCCCCCCCCCCTATTTAGGATTTTAAGAATTTAAACTTCTGACCTGTCTTTTACTTAATTCTATTAAGCTTTGAAACAGTATACTGCAACAACAAAGAGAAATAAAATTGTTCAGTTAAAATTACACATAACAATTGTAATACCTACTCCATATATACAAAGAGCAGATAACTCTTGTCAATTCTCAAATACTTTTAAGATTTAAAAAAAAAGTTATTGTTTATACAATACTTGTGATATTATATAAATGAATATGTTACAACACAGAAAACCAGTACCTAGTTCAAATTACACCTGCCAAGAAAACAACTAAATTCATCTTGTTATCACCATCATGTAACATGTTCTTTAGAGAATTTTGCCCTCAGCATGACCCATTAAAGAGATGCTTGAATCTTTGTCACTTCTTCTGCCTCATGCCCACGATGTCCTTAATATCCCATTGATTTTATTTTCGCTGGTCAGTCCTGTATGTTTGTCTTGGATCTGTGTCTTTCATTTTCTCGTTTTTAATTATATGCTAATATCTGTTATGAGCAAAGTATTTCAGTTTCCAGAGTACAATGATGTTTACGAGTCAGTTTTCAAAGTAAAATGTGAATATTTGTCTTCTACTTGATACACGCCATTCAAAGAATTTCTAACATGTCTCAGATGAGCAACATCAAAGTTGGAATTATAAGTACATTTATAATCATTTTGATTATTATCTAAATTAGCGGTATTCATTTATTTCCCTCCAGGTCTACCGAGCCTTGAGTGGTTACCATCTGCAGACATGGAAAGAACAAGGGGCCGGAATGGTGTTGACAACATCCCCCACCAAACGCCGACTGGTCTATAAAATACAGGTCTAGCCCTATGTGCCTAAAGTCTCGGAAAAGGGTCCTTTAACGTTACTTTACTTGCTTATTATATATATTTAAGTAGCCATAATGTGAATTGCTGCCCAAGTACAAAGCATTAAGCTTTCGTATATTGTAGACTATGATTTATGAGGTGAGCCTATGATGAACATAACAACAAGTAACAGATTTTTTCTGAAAATATTTATCAGCATGACAATTATGAGTAAGAATTAACCAAATATGGCAAATTATTGAAGACAATAACTGTATAAAAGAAACCACTACTCTGACAAGTCATTTTGAAAATGACTGCATCTGTATTTCTAATAATCTGTTATCCCCATATGGGTTCCGGAGCCAGCTGTGGGGGGTAACAAGAACAGACTCACTGCCTCCCCAAAAAACATGTCGTAAGAATCAACTAATTGGGTGTTTCCTTCGAAGTTGGAGTGCATCTGCCTAAGAGGCAAGGGACCAACAGTCTGTATAACAAATAAATCAGATCTATAAAAAGGATATGCATGCAACACTCCCGTTCTGGAAGCTCAAATCTAAAGTCCAAAGGTGGACGAACAACCAGAACGCTCCTTCAGAGTTTACAGCCAGTGAACGTGAAGAAGAAGATAATCCATTATTCTAAACAAATAGTTAGTTAGTTAGTTAGTTGGATTATCCTCATTGCACTCCGGACATGTCCATAGGTGCTCAGATCCTCCCCTCAGTATGAACCCCAACGTCCGATGGCTAATAGTACCAGTTCTATGTTGATTAACAAGTCTTCTGGCGTGTCTGGTGTGCGTCTCGTTTTTTGCTGTGTCGATCTTAATTCCCAAGTCTGTCATTCTGGCGAGTGATGTGGATTCACTGCCACCAAAGTCCTCTATCCTTCCCATTTCTCAGAGGGCATTGATAATATCAGCATGATCCATAGGCTGACCGTCGGTAGTGATAGCGGATCCAGCTAACCTGTCAGCTCTTTCATTTCCATCGACGCCTGCGTGTCCCGGAACAAAAATAAAGGTGACTCCACGCACAGTGGACTTCTGTAATGATTCAAGCCATTGTCTTCGCACTGAACCTGCCTGAACCCTCTGGATCATACTCATTGAATCACTGAGTATACACACGCGAGTGTATTTTTGTGTTTCAAGCCAGGCAAGCGCTTGCGTCACTGCCATCACCTCCATCGCCATGCTGCTGGTTGTCATGGAGAAGGAGCCGTTGGCTTCTTTGACTGTTCTGCCCGCTGAGCGTGCTGTAAATGCCCATGCGCTTCTTCTTTGGCGTATAACGGATCCGTCTGTATAGATTATTGCATCTGCTTCGTCTGAATTTTCACTGATGAGAGCGTTGACCTCTGCATTAACAGCAACAGGATTCTCTTCTCTACATCGCCTGTTGAGTGTGACAATACAGGAAAATGTACAAATAAACGCCTGAGGCACAGGTATCCATTCTGCCTAATAACATCTTCTGCCCGACCTAGCCACGATTTCCCCCTCTTCAGTCTGTCGCCCTTTTCACTAAAAAGCGCTTGATGCAGTGGGTGTTTCTTATCAGCACATATTTTGAGATATGCCCGAGCCCTCCACATCCTGATCCTTTGGTTCATTGTTGGAAAGTTAAGTAGATACCTCATTGCTCCACAGGATGTGTCTCTTGTACATCCCAAAATAATGAGCATGGCTTCATTTTGCACCTTTTCGAGTCGTTCAATCTGGGTAGCACTGACAGTGAGGATGGTCAGAGCGTATTCAAGGGGGGAAAGGACCAGACCGTAGAATAGAAGTATTAGTAGTCTTTGCTCAATATTGGAAGCAGCCATAATCCTCATTGCAGATAGACCTTTGTGTGCTTTTGTTATTACATGGTCTAAACAAATAATTCCTGTTTAACTACAAATAAAAAAATGTTTCAAATTTGTAAAAATAAAATATTCAAAAAAAAAATAAAGGATGTGTTAGTTTTCTGAAGCAGTTTGTACATCTACCTTTCAAAATGTAAATAATATGATAACACAGGCATTTAATTACAGATTAGGAACATGTTCCTCTTCTTTTAGGGCACATGTTGTTATTATGGGGAGGGGCTGTGGGAGTCCCGCCATATACTTAAGGGGGCGCCACCTTAAAAAAAAAAAAGTTGGAGACCGCTGGTCTAGACAGTCTGGATTCAATCCTCAGAGGATGAGGTTTATACTTTCTTCTAACCAGTACAGCTATATGGTCCAGCTAGCTTCATGGAAACTTGCACCAGCTTGTACCCAACTTCTGTGGGAACCGTCTAGAAGTTAACCTCAAAAATCACAGTCTACAATATACAAGAGCTTAATGCTTCATGCCTGGGCAGCAATACGCATTATGGCTACTTAAAGATCCCACAAAAGCAGAAGAGAGATTACAAAATTTTAAATCTTCGATGCAAAGTTTGTGTTTTACTAACAAGTCACAATGATTTATAAAGACTGTTAAAGGAGTTTGTGTGAATGAAAGATTCTTGGTGATTACACAAACTCATTATGTAAGAGTACGACATAAATACCTAACAATGTCATTAAAAATATCAAAGTAAAACAGTATAACACTGATTACTTTCACAACAATATAGTCACACACTAATTAAATATTCCTGAGACACCCGAATAGCAACATTCCCTATAAACAATTATGTTTTGACACATTATCAAGATCTCAAAAAGGCACGTTCCTCATATGGATCCATATAATTGTCCACGTTGCCTTGATAAAGAAGATCTCTTATGTCGCGGAACAGTTTGAGAGCCACGCCTAATTTCTTAACTTTTAACAATCCACCTAAAGGGGGTCCAACAACATCAGATCGGCGTAGAAGTCCAAGTGCGGCACCGTCCAAATCCTGCAAGGGAAATCAAGATCTCAAGTTGTATAAAATTATAATGCACACGACTTTATATATATATATATGTATGTATATAATATATATATATATATAGTATATATATATATATATATATATATATATATATATATATATATATATATATATATATATATATATATATATATATATATATATATATATATGTATATATATATATATATATATATATATATATATATATATATATATATATATATATATATATATATATATATATATATATATATGTATGTGTATATATATATATATATATATATATATATATATATATATATATATATATATATGTATGTGTATATATATATATATATATATATATATATATATATATATATATATATATATATATATATATATATATATAGTGTGATGTACCAAACATTCGCTTCGTATTCGTTTCAGGGCCTAATTGTGGACCTAATAACTATTTGGTATTCGGCTGAATACGAATATTCGTTACCTTATACCTGCTTCTACATACACTGCCTTAATGCTGACAACATAGAACGATTTTGTTGAAAGCTATAATGCAGCTTTCATGGATTAACTAAGCTGTCAGTGACAATTTACAAGTTTAGTTACTTGTTATAATGCTTATAATACTTTCACTCCTTGTTATTAGTTACCACAGACTGACTAAAGAATGTAAAACATACAATGTTTTTAAATGTTTACTATTCTGTACTACATTTTGTGAAGCAAAAGTTCAGCATACATTTGACATTACGAATGTTTTTTAAATTTATTTCATACACTATTCGTATTCGGCTGAATAGTTGGTCCTTTTTTTTCGTATTTGGCCAAATATTGATAATCACCTATTCGGTACAGCTCTAATATATATAAAAACCTTCTTCTTCTTCATATTCCCCGGCTGTAAACTCCAGCGAAAAGCCCGGGTTCCTCACGTTTCATGCAAAACTCTTAATTAGTGAACTCAGTGGGTCTATTCATTCTTCCCACACCCCTCCCCCACAATGCACCCCAGAACCCACATGGAGAAAGTCTATATCTTAAAACTTAGCCAACTGTTTTATATGCACGTGTTCAAAAATCACAGGGTCAGAGGAACACAGGCAGGCAAGAAATATTAGACAACCCATCCAAGCAGGACTACAGGTACATTCTGAGAAGAGACAAACAGAGAATCACCAAACAGGCACTGAAATGAGAAATACATGGACTAGGGGGGGGGGGGGAGATGAGGACATCCAAGAGAAAACCTAAGGAGAGGGTTGATGACAGAAGCCAAAGGTGCCGGACAGGATTCTATCCATGGTATCCAAGTGATTGCACAGGACAGACCGGAATTTAGAAATAGACCATGAGCCCTATGTGACGTAAAAAAAAAAGTAAAGATCCCTTTTCACGCCTTTCGGCGCATCGGGCATATGGGCAGAGCGTCCCATATTTTTACAGACCATCAGCACTCTGTGGGTAATGTGGTCAGCATTACGCCGGCTGTCTTTACTTTCCCAGGACAGCCCATCCTGGTACCCATTTTAGGCTGGGTCGACCTGCGACGTCCCATACCACGACAAAAATCCACGCAGCCTGCAGAGGGTTTCAATCGCGGTATGCTGGCTTACGAGTCGGACTCGCAACGCCTTAGCCACGGACGCCGCCTATGTGACATATAATGGCATAACAGGACAATAATGAATGAATGACTGAATATATTTCATTCAGCACATACATTCAGATGCAAAATCAAACCAAACATAAATAAAACTGCAAAAGCATGAGCTGGTTTAGAGAAGGAAGGGGAGGAAGTAGACGAAGATGAAATGAATGATGAAGGCAGGTAAGAAAATGATGAAGAAGGAGAAAGAGGAGATTATGGAATACGTCACCTGCCCTTCTTATTCTTATTTTCATTCCTACCTCACACTTACTTATAGCTTTTTTTTTTTTAAACGGAAAAGGGGTGCCGGTACTCACCACACAGTGTCTAATAAAAGTTGCTGATACACACCACAAACTGTCTATTACAGTGGTACTGAAACATAAAGCCTAAAGAAATGTGCCAGTACTGCAAAGATCTTGGGTTCGAATTAGCATCAAGGCCGGTTTTTGTGTAACTGACCTTGATTTCCAGGTTGACCTATCTAAAACTGATACCAGGAAATGTCCTTGGAAGTAAGGGTAGTTGGTAGTATGCTAACCATATCACCAATCAAGGACTGACAATTTTAAAAATGTAAGTCTAGTACAAATGCCTTATGGCATTAAAATTATAATTTACCTAATTTTTACCGGTAAGTATGTGAAAATAAAAATCTGAACAGGAAACCAACAGAAAGACGACACAGTACACTAACATTTGCAAGCATGCTTTTGGCTTCTTCAACATAGCCTTTCTTGTGGAAGTAGTCTGCAACCTGTTGAGGTGACCAGCTGAAGATGTCGGGGTGGGACGAGGGAAGACTGCTATCATCATCCTCATTGTCAGACTGTTCTGACTGACCGTCTTGTTTTGAATTGTCATCCTGACCATGCTCCCCACTAGGTGACTCTGGTTTCTTGGGCCTTCCTCTTTTCTTTGTCCCTTCCATTTTAAAACTGAACAAAGAAATATCAAAATGAATATTTTTAACGTGTGTTATTACCTTTATGTTCAGCTATTATTTGCACAGTAACAGAATTAACTTGTACAAATTACTGTTGTTGTTGTGACATTAAAGAACTATAAATTATAAGGTAAAACCAACTATGGATAAAGTCCAACGCATTAAGAACATATTCTTTACCATGAAAATAAAACAAAGCTTTAAAAGAAGACACAAATTTGAAATGACTAAAGTGGCATTCATATGTGAGCTCATAGACCCCATTTTAGGGGGGAAATAACAGACCCGGTGCCTCCTAAAAGCACGGTGTCCAAGGTGGCTAATAACGGATGCTTCCTTCCACATTAAGGTGCCTCTGACTGAGGAAATAACAGCTTGCACACAAATAAGCCAGTTCTGTAAAACTTAACTTCTGCAACAAGACCAAAGCCCAGAAGTGGATAAACAACCAAACGTTTACAGCAAGGAACAACCAACTGCATATAAATAAGCCAGTAAAGCGGATGTACGTCTAAAAGAACAAACAACCAGGACTTTCTGCTGTAGCTTACAGCTGGTGAACAGAAAAGAAAAGAAATTCCGTAATCTATGTAGCACACTGGACGCTGAAAGGCAGAACAAGGACTATACTGTAGTAACTGCACCTTTTGAGACAACACATCCAGTTTCAGAAAATCTGTAACTAGTTGTCTTTGATGATATGATGGTTAGGATGCAAATACTGACATTTTAAAATATCTGAACATTCAAGGTCATCTTCATCATGTAGCAGGTCCTTTGCACAACGTCGCTCTCATCACAGTCTGTCTGAAAGAAACTTGGTCTCTCGCCAGCTCTCCCGCACTTTCATACTTGAAGAGTCAATTATATCCCGTGCCCATCTTCGTGTTAGTCGCCCCATCATTCCTGGTACCATGCCTTCTGCTATCATTTTTTCCAATCTGCCGTGGCGCTTGATATAACCAAAATATTTAATCTTCCGAGACAGGATACTGTTTATTAGCCAATCTTCCTTGATGTTCAGTTCTTTCAAGATGTCAGTATTTCTCCTACATTCAAGGTAGACTGGTTTATAAACAGCATCCCATCACAGAAGCTGAAATATTTTGGTCAGATCAACTGCCAAGGCGGATTGAAGAAAAAAAATAGAAGGCATGGTACCAGGAAGGAGGGGTCGACCAACACAAAGATGGGTACAGGATATAAGGGACTCCTTGAGTTTGAAAGTATACGAGGCAGGAGACCTGGTGAGAGACCGAGTTTCTCTCAGGCAGACAGTAATGAGAGTGAAATTCTGCAAAAGACCTGCTACATGATGATGATGATGGTTAAGATACAATGGGTCTACTCCTTTCTCCATAGAAATGGCCCCGGACACCCAAATGGTGAAGACATTAATTATAAAACAGGTAAAATGGTTCAGCCATTTATCTCAGCTGCAAAAAAGACAATACCACAAGATGAAACACCTACAGACCATGTCTCAATAGAAAAAAATGCTGACTTTGTAAACAATGCACAGAAGGAATAACAAAGCCCCTAAGGATGCCCCTCCCCTGAATTAGGAAGCAAACAAGTAGATACATCACCTTAACACTGTACAAGAGGATGAAGTTGAGACAAGAATGAAAACTGGCATAAAATAAAAACACAAATGTGAAAACCTTTGCTCCATGGTTGTTTCTGACTTTTCAGAAGCAGGTGAGGCAGTTGGAGTCGGGTACACAGATTCCTTAATGTCTGAAAATACAAGAAATGTAAATTCTATATAATCTATATTATTCTATACAACAATTTGTATTTGGTGAAATTATAACTGTCATTTTAGAACCTGTTGTAGCATAGCGGTTGGTGTGCAAGTATCTAAGTGAAAAAAAAAGATTTACAGAACCAGAGCTGTACAAACCCAACTGTAAAAGATGTTGCAGCAATTTCTCAGAACATTTTTCTGGTGCCCACAATTTGTTTAGGCTGTGCTGACCTGGCAAAAAAGGTCAATCTCCCCCCCCCCCCCCCCCCCCCCCCCCCCCCCCCCCCCCCCCCCCCCCCCATCCCTACAGCACAGACCAGCCTAAGACCTCCTGACCTAGGTGAGCATCCAGCCACTACATTTCCTCGATTCCTATCTTAAAATGAAGAGCGGTCACTCTATCAATAACTTTCGCTATCATGTGTACTTTAAAATGGTGTCTTAACTAGCCATGCCTTTTTCTGTCTCTTATCTCCCAATGGGACATAGGTCTGTCCTTAAACTACTCAGGCCGAGAAACCTTATCTTTTGCAATCACATACAGTCCATTCCAAAGCCTTCATCAGCAGAATGATGAGAAACATAAGACAAGCAAAAACAAACAAAACCTGACGGACAGGGTAGGAAACAAATATCCAGCGGGCGACTCCCTTTTTGAAGAAAGTTCTGGTTGTTTGTCCACTTCTGGCTTTGGTCTTGTTCTACAACTTGAGTTTTGTGTGCACACCTGTTTGACAGATATGGCTTATTTGTGTGCATATTGTTGGTTCCTCGCCTTTCACTCCAACTTTGAAAGAAGCACCCCTAATTAGTTGCCTTTTATGACATGCTTGTTCTTTTTCCTCCCCAAAATGGGGTCCCAGAACTCACATAGAATAAATAATATGATATGGGGTTAGTGTTAAAAAATTTTTTGGGTTAAGGTCATTTCCTCGTAGTACAAAATACTACCTAAGAAATCAGCCACAACCAACCTGTATGCTTTTTCATTCTTGTTGGTATTTCCGTTTCAAAATCTGGCCCATGATCTTTTACAATTCTCTGAAAGGAGAAATCATGGGAAATTATGAAAAAAATAATTTCCCACCACTGAAAATACTAGAACTGTTATGATTATATTTATGTTTTCTTTTGGGGAACATAAGGCTTTTTAAAGAAGTCAGTCAATGACATGGTTCACTCGTTGAAGCACAGCACACATATGGTATCAGCCCTATATTTTGATACACCAATCAACTTTCAATGAGTGATCTGGTCAAAATCATGTCTGCAATTTTGGTTCTCAGGACATTTTCTAGCAAACATGGGCGTTTAGGTAAATTGTTTTTTAAATGTGCAGTTCTGTGGATTCAAACCTATGATTAGCAAGTGGACAGGCTAGCATATCAGGCACTGAAGTAGTGCCCCTCACTCAAATGGCTTCTTTCAATCAAAGCTTTACTTTTTCGTGCCGTGAACGCTTAAAAGAAATGGGCCTTGAACCAATGGAAATTCGCCCAAAATACAACTGACACCCCCCCCCTTTCCAATCTGCTATTTTTAGCACATATATTCATACCCAGGTTTCCTGAATTCTGCATAGACACAACAACAACAAAACAAGTGACAAACTATGCATCTCTAGAACAGGTCACTACAGATGTATCAGATCTGCAACCTTTTCAGAAATGTGGGTTAATTCATTTTCAGAAGGCAAACCTGAACTTAAAGTATTAAATTTAAGAACAATCATCTTTCCTTTAATAAATATACATGGATGTCTTCTTCTTCTTAACTGGCTGTAAAATTGCGGCAGAAAGTTCTGGGTTGTTCAACCACCTCTGGCCTTTTGACTTGTTCCAGAACCTGAGTGTTGCGCACACATCCATTTTACATATTTGACTTATTTGTACACAGACTGTTGGTTCCTTGCCTCTCAGGCAGATGCACTCTGACTTTGAAGGAAACCTATAATCAGTTAACTCTTACGACATGCTTGCTGGAGAGGCAGTGGGTCTATTGTTGTTTTCCCACAATGAGGCCCAGGAACCCACACGGAAAATATATGGATGTGAATCACCTATACCATTTCACAATCAATGAAGAAAAATGAACCTTTCGAACTTCAGTTCTACAGGAAAATTTTTAACTTAGTACTTAATGACTAAACCATTATTTGCTGGTTTTTCATACATAACTTCTTGTGCCTTACATTACAGTACATCCAAAAAACAGAATACAGAGAGGGCAAACTTTCAGGTGGACACAAGACATTGAAGATGAATTAGCTATGAAAGCACATAGGGATTGGAAAATTGGCTAGAGAAAGAAAGACTTTCATGTGTGCCATGACTTATCTTCTTGTGTTCGCTCTTTAATTTACATTGACAGACAAGTTTGTGTTATAAACTTGACAGTTTTTTTTCCCTTTCAGTCCTTTTATAGGGACAACAATAATAGACCTAGTACCTACTCAAAAGCATGTTGTAAGAGTCGACTAATTGGGAGCTTCCTTTGAAATCGGAGTGCATCAGCCTGAGAGGAAAGAAACCAGCAGTCTGCATACAAATGAGCCAGATCTGTAAAACAGATGCACACGCAACACTCAAGTTCTGGAACAGGACTGCAGTCCAGAAGTGGATGAACAACCAGAACTTTCCGCCAGAGTTTACAGCTGGTGAACGCAAAGAAGAAGAAAAAGAAGTTCCATACAACTTTGAGTACAATGTTGACTCAGTGGGCCAGTATTCCCTTTTCAATGGGCTGTGCAAGGGACATTCTTGCAGGACAATTTCTTTAGTCTGCACACACAGCCCGCAGGGGCACAAAAGTGAACTACTTAGATAAAACCAGTGCATGTGCTTGTTAACTTTGTTATGTTCTGTTCTGAGTTACAGAGTAATGGCCTGCCCATGCCAATCAGCGGCATCCGTGGCTTAGGCGCTGCAAGCCTGACTCGTAATTCCAACATAACGCGATCAAAACCCACTGCTGGCTGCATCGATTTTAACAGGTTTTGGTTCGTCGCAGGTCGGCCCAGCCTAAAATAGGTAAAAGGATGCGTGTCCTGGAGAAGTTAAGACAGCTGGCGTAATGCTGACCACATTACCCACCTAGTGCCGATTAGTCTGTAAAAATATAGGTCCTCTTCCCATATACCTGATGCTCCTTAAGATGTAAAAAGGGATCTTTACTTTTTTTTTCTTACATGAAGGTCAACCAAGCGATAGCTAACTCTGACCAGATTCTTTTCGCTTCTCATAGACTGGATAGCCCTTTTCTTCTCAAAATTTGTTACTGCATTGTCTTCCTGTTCACATTCTGCCCCTTTCTTCGCAAGTTTACCCGCAGTTGCCTTTCCTTCTAAACCAGTGTGATGAAGTTCAGTACGCTTTTTGGCAGGCATATTATCAAATTCAGATCTCAGGTGAGGGCTTTTACCATTCCTGAGGGCTTAGAGTGCCAATATCGCATCTGTGGAAATGACCACTTCATGGTAGTCAGAACTGGTGTTGTGTAACATTTCGGCAGCCTGCTCTAGCCAGAAGTGCCACAACAAGAGTGATGTTTTGTAAAGGATTTGCTGACTGACGATAAGATGATTACCTTATACAGTTGTTACACTAAGTCAGTTAGCCTCAGTTGTAAACTAACACCCTTGTGTTATACAGCATTATTAATTTAACTTATTCAGATTTAAACCTTTATCACTTAAACTAACATTGTGTAAGGTTAAAATGAGTGAAAGTAAAGCTTGCTTAGGACTGAAAGTATTGTGGATCAAGAAGACAGATAGTGACATTTTATAAGACCTAAACATTAAAGTAAATTGCCCATAAATGCATCATCTCCTAAAAAAAAATGGAGGAAATACTTAGGTTTTATCAAATACATTAATGTTAACAAAGAATAGTAATGGAAGGTGTTGTTCTTAGAAGAAAAAATGAGGTTAAACCACCATGATAGCAGTCAACGCAGGTCTTTAAAGACGATAAAACCATGTATTTCCCCACAGATATCTGACAAAACTGCCTGTATTTACCACAGTTCTTCAAAGAAATCTGACAAAACTGCCTGAATTCACCAAATGTCTTTAAAGACATCTAACAAAACTGCCTGTATTTACCACAGTTCTTCAAAGAAATCTGACAAAACTGCCTGTATTTACCACAGTTCTTCAAAGAAGTCTGACAAAACTGCCTGAATTCACCAAATGTCTTTAAAGACATCTAACAAAACTGCCTGAATTCACCACAGGTCTTTAAAGACATCTAACAAAACTGCTCGAATTCACCACAGGTCTTCAAAGACATCTGACAAAACTGCCTGTATTTACCACAGTTCTTCAAAGAAATCTGACAAAACTGCCTGAATTCACCAAATGTCTTTAAAGACATCTAACAAAACTGCCTGAATTCACCACAGGTCTTTAAAGACATCTAACAAAACTGCTTGAATTCACCACAGGTCTTTAAAGACATCTAACAAAACTGCCTGTATTTACCACAGTTCTTCAAAGAAATCTGATAAAACTGCCTGAATTCACCAAAGGTCTTCAAAGATATCTAACAAAACTGCCTGCATTCAGACGGCAACCCAGAAAATGGGGGGGGGGGGGGGGGGGGGGGGGCAGACGTTAAAGTGCATCTAGCAAGAGAACTGGTGAAGAATCAAGAATTTTTTAGGTATGTTGTGATGAGAATAGCATTTTGCACTAATGCAAACATTTTTACTTTTACTATTCTGTGTTTGCTTTAAGGGGATGGTTGACAAGCTGTGTTTGGTCAACGGTTAGGCTGCAATATCTATGACCTTTTGCCCAAGAAATCTGATAACAGCAAATCTTTAATTAGTTGTCTTTAATAGTGTGCCTTTTAAGAGGCTGTGAGTTCATTTTTTGTCACCCAAAACATAAGGCCCTGGAAACTACAAATGAAATAAACATGAGGATCTGTATTGCTCTTTCGTCAAGACAGTGACTAATTTCAGTGAGAAGTTGTGCCTGCCTTTGCACATCTTATGTTGATTTCTATATCTACTCTTCGATTTGAAATGAAAATTGACCAGATTTGTTATTTTATGCTCATGGTATACATAACCGTTTAATATTCTGTCCATAACTGCCATATATTTAACCCACTCATTTTACACTGTCAGATGCCTTTTTATAGTCAATGAAGCATAGAATTCACAGATAAGTATTCTTTTTTTTTTTTTAAGGTTAAGCACATCTTCTGCCCTTTTTTTTTTAAACAGAAGATTGCTTCTCAATGTTATGTCTTCTAGAAAGCAGATTAGAATATCATTGGATATAGTTTATTATCATATCCAATGACATTCTAATATATATTGTATTTTTTGGAGTATGAGCAGCATTTTTAACATGCAACAAAGCACATTCTTCACACAAGCTCTGTGTCAGTTATGGGCTGATGATTTAAAGACTAGCTGTATAATCCTTTGTAAGCAACAAAATCTGCTTGAACAGAGTTAGTAGTTACGTGTACTTCTGCTTCAACTGGTCATAGGATTTTCACCTATTTCATATACGATATATATATATATATATTTACTACTGGACGTAAATTTGCCTAGAAAAACCCCACAACAGCCAGGGGCTGTTGGGGTTGGTTCTGCAACGTCCTGTAAAGGATACGCAACTAACTTTATATATATACATTATGTCTAAAATTATGAATAAATATTGTGGTTCAGCTGAAGCAATTGTCTTCCTCTCCTTTGCGTTCACCGGCTGTAAACTCCAGTGAAAAGTTCTGGTTGTTTGTCCACTTCTGGACTGCAGTCCTGTTCCAGAACCTGAGCACTTGGAAGAATGTTCAGTTTTAATATACTACAGGCATAATCAGGACTTTTAAATGTTGATAAGCAGTACCAGTACTTATATTTACGCATCTCTTTTGTCAGCACTACCTTAACTAACACTCTGCAGTGAGTACCAAAACTGTTATTAGACACTGTCATGAGAATGGCACTTTTCTCTACAGAAGAGTCCTGGGCGAAACCAACAATACTCAATACTATTTGCATGAAAGAATGACATAAACAAACCTACTTTCCGTTTTGATGGTGGGCGGAGTGGTACTGCCGAGGATAAACTCCGATATTCATGAAACGCTCCAGGGGCAAAGCTTATGGCTATGGGGTGAGGTGGTGGTGCAGGAAGATGATCTACTGTTGAATTAATTTCATCTTTAACGCTGACCAGTCCAAAAGCTCGAGGTATATCATCTGAAGTTGGCGTACAATCCATAGAGTTTTCTCTATTTATATCTAGCGCCTTTTCTGGTATTGAATAAAAGACTACTGAATCCTGCACAACTTTCTTTAAGACACCATTTCTTGAATGTTTTTCCAGAAATGCTAATAAGAATGAATCATCTGTGTCACTGAATTCATGTCCTTTAATAAGTAAGTACTCCTTTATATCCAGAAGTGAAGACCCACTTCTTTCTAATTGTTCTGTTTCATTTATTGCCTTCATCACATTTGTAAGTAATGGGCCTGCTTCTAAATTCTCTGAATGTAAGCTGAAACTGGAGTCTTCATAATGACTTGAGTTCTCCCTGAGATCCAAGTTTTCTTCATCAACATCGTCACCTTCTTGTGTCACAATATCAGATGCACTGTTTATATTCTCCGTGTTGATAGTGTAATGAAACTGTGTCCCTGCTGACAACTTCTTCAAATAACCATTAATTATTTCATTTTCTAAAGCATCTCTGAGAGCTGCTCCCGACAGAAAACATTTTTCTTCGCCCTGACTTGCTAGAAAGTCTTCGATATCTTTAGCAGAAACACCCGTGCCTTTTGACTCCTCCGTCGCTTCGATTGCACGAATAAACCTCTTCAACATCTTATTCGAATTCAAAATCTGCCCACCTAGACGGCCTTTCTTCCACTGAGAAACATCCCTGTAACTCGTATTATTCTTATACACAGCTTTAACTACAATCCCGCATTCAATCAACGACTCCAGAAGTTTTTTCGTTTGCGCAAAACTCATCTGATATTTCCTCTTCATCCGCAAGCTGATGCGGGAAAGATCGGGCCGGGCTTTTCGATGTTTCAAATGATTGATAGCCTCCAGAATCCATTCTTTCTCGTTCTCCTGGAACATGGTGCTTGTTTTACACAATCTAATTCAAACTAACGGCCACCACATAGAAAATAAAGTGAAATAAACAGCTGGGACGATTTCTTTGTGGCTGCAGTACTAGTGTAGGGTCAACACACGCTCGTCATGATCGGCTGCTGCGCATGCGTGGTGGCTACTTATCTATAATATCAATTAATTCAACATGATATTGTTGAATTAACTACTACTTCAACTACTACTACTACTACTTCTGCTGCTGCTGATATGACCACTATTGATGCATCTACTGTTACGTCTACTATTATTTATTATCGGCAGCTCTTATTTTGCATATGTTATATTTATTGCATTAAATTGTTAGTTTCTAATTTTTTTATGTTTTATTTGTTAGGTGCAACCATTTGTTCGTAACTGCGTACGTGATATTGTTTTTGTACAACTAGTATAAAAAGAATAACGGCAGCTGCAGGCACGCCACTACAAAGAACCAATGCGGGTTGGGGGGGGGGGGGGGGTTGTCCGTCCATCCATTTATTTATGAAAAAGACACCAAAATAAATCGACCGTGTTCAACCTACTGCGAGCATTATAGGTTATAACTGTGGTCCGGTTTCTTTGTGCTAATTGTGTTATCTAGGAAATATAAGTGCACTAAAACGACTGGCTTGTACCGGTGGTGCTCTCAGCCCACACATCATTTTCTAGAGCAGCAGTTCGTAAAGTGTATTCGCCTCGGCACCCTTGTCAGGCTAAAAAAAAAGTTCGCGGCACACCTACTCTTAAAGAGGTTGAATACATCGGCTGGGGTGGGGACACCAATCTATGAATGAAACCATCAATCAAAGACATCTGGAAAATGAGTGAAGTCCACTTGGCGAGTTTTCTACTAAACGACCTATTTTGGTTCCAACCTCTGTCCACTGAGAGTTTTACTAAATGGCAACTTAGGATCAAATGTCCATTTATCACAAGACCCACTAGATGACAGTCAATGTTCAGATATTTATCTTTCAAAGATCCTATTTGAGTTCAACAAGTTTGAATATCTGCTAGCATTTTCCACACTAGTCGAAGTGTAATGAAAATAAGGGGAAGCCGTGCTTAATGAACGCACTCCATTTGCTGCTACGCTAAGTGTTGTGAAGCAATCACAGTAAGGTACCACTGGCTACCAGAAAAGTCTTGGATCTGCGGATTGTCTGCTTCCGGTTCACTATAAGAGTATTAGGTTAAGCAGCCATGTGCAGGATGTGACGATTCCTTGGATGAGTATAATACCACAGCGCCTTGTATTTACATGAGCCTCTTAGGATGACAATGCCAATGTTCTGCCTCTGCCTCCTCATAAGGGCAAACCAGTCTGCACAGGACTGTCCTGGTTGTATTCTCTGTGGGTAACACATGCGGATCAGGGTATGAGAACATGACCACATACAGGAAGCTGTGAAATGTCCCACGAAACCAAACGGAAAGGATAAGCCGGAAAACAAAATTCCTGAAGAAGTCGGATGTGTCGGCCGAAAAGCGGAAATATCCCAGATTTGCTGCAAACAAGATAAAGATGGAGAAGACGTATTTGGGAAGTTCTCACGAACCTTAAAGATCTAATTTATAGATGAGCTGAAAAAGTGAAACTCTTTTGAATAGATCAGTTCACACAGATAATCTCTCATAGACCATATTTAACTTGCTGAAGTAGTGTTTAAATATAAATCGCGGAGATCCATCTAAGAAAGAAATTAGAAGAGTTACCAGATTTACAAATGATGGAAGGGCTGCTAGTCCAAATCCTGTCAGAGCGATTTACAAATTTATACCGCTTTTAGAGAGATGATAAACACATAAACTGAATTACTGCACAACATTTTGGGCAGAATCCAAATCGTTCAGAGGAAAATCGTCACTTTTGAGGTAGGCTGCACTAGAGAGAATTTCCATTTAACTACCGCAGACCGAGTAAGACGTGATATCATTCAGTATATTGCGGCAACAATACCTTGATCCAAATACATTTAGAAACAGAAGATCCAATGTTGTGTGTACACCTTGTTTTAATGCACCAGTATCAGTTATCAACACATGACATCGCCCTTATCATCATTATTCTCATCATCATCATCCTCATCATCATTATCATTATGATCATCAGTTACCAACAGCATCATCAGCATCCGTAGTCGGTCATCATCATTATCCCAGACGTCTTGTCTTTTTTTTTTTTTTTTTTTTTTTTTGTTCTTCCAAATAATGCGATCTGAAACCTCATTTGTGCTTCGAAAACTCTTCATGTCACAACAAAAGGCTTGTAAGAATATGTTCTTATCTCTGTTTGTGCCCTTTATTTCACAAAGGAGCGTTTACCCTCAACCTAATCACCCCCTTTCCTTCTATTCTTTGTTAATGAAGGCAGCTCCCCCCCCCCCGCCCCTCTCCCTCTCTCTCTCTCCACCATCTTCTTAAATGCATTCTCTAACCATATCTTTTTGCTTTGTTTTTATGGTCTGCCTTATTTATGGCTTGTGAGTTCCAGTGCAAAGACGTCCCGGTTATACTCAACTCATGTTTTCTCAGCGTGTGTCCAATCCAACACCAGCGTCCCTTCTTCGTCATTTGATTTACTCGAATTTATTTAGTTCTCTCCAGAGGCTCAACATAAGTGATTCTTTTATTCCTTTTAGCAGGCAAGCACCGGTTAATGAACGACATTTGTAGTTTATTAGTAACTGTTTTAGTTATTTTCCATGTTTCCCATCCATACGGCAATACTGATCTGAGATTAGAATTCAAAATTTTAAGTTAATATCTCTTTTACCATAAACTTTTTCATGTTTTCATTTTCCAGATGATTTTTCTTTCTTATAATATGGCCGCCAAATAATAAGTTATATAGGTACATCGGGAGTCGCCGTGGCGTAGTATAAGGTCGTGGGTTCGCTCCCTGGCGGAGCCGGACTTTGTTCAAAAATAAAATTGGATCCCAGGTCAATCCAGCCTTGAGTAGGTGCAGTCCCGGGAAGTAAAGGCAGCCGTCGCTATGATGACCACATCACCCATCTTTTCCCTATTGGTCTATAAAAATATAGGTCGAACCTTATATGCCCTATACGCCTAAAGGCATGGAAAAGGAACCTTAACTTTTTATTTTTACTTTCATAGGTGCATTCCCGTTTGGGTAAACAAAAATCACACTACTATTAAAAGTAAAAGTAAAGGTTCCTTTTTAAAACATGCATTATTGACCAAACAACACTTTGTTTTTGATGTGGTCAGCATCCCACCAGCCGCCATTAGTTCTCAAGACTTTACATGCTATCTGTTTAGAGGCAAGGGTCGACCTGGGAGCCAAGAAAATAGTCTAGCTCCATCAGGGCCTGAACCCACAACGTTCCGATTCGCTACATCATAGCTGCTCCTACAGTACAGTTGACATCTCTTTATTGGAATCTTTTGCGTCAAATGTATGACTATTCCCAATATATTTCATTGACTGGCTTGTCCAATGGACTGCTTTTTGCGTGGATTTCAGCATGAATTTGGTCTGGTCTTGGTCAAAATTTAGATTTTCTCACAATTAAACTGTAAGATTAATTGATGCAGATTCGATTTGCGATATGTTGTACTTTGATGGAGTTCTGGGGTCACCTGGTGCTCGTGTCTAAGGCCGTAGTTAAGATGTATGACGCCACTGTGCAGTTATTTTCGTTACGCCCCTCTTCCCTCAGCTAAACTTCAGCATCACTATTGTCAGTGTTTTTTGTTTTCCCCTAGAATCAAAGGTGTCAATAATCAACACAGAATGTCTAGTTGCCATTGCTCAGCTCAAAGTTTCTGTTACAGTAGCGTTGAATAAAGTGTTGCCTAAAAGGTGGCTGTATTCACTATCTTCTAGGAACCTTGGCCATTGCCATACTATTTTTATACCACAACGCTTATTAATGCGGGTTTCTTCATGATAAAAGCAATACAAAAATAATTTTTTTTTAAAACCGCCAATTATCTTTATCCTCTCTCATAATTTTGTCGCTCCCGAAATGTTGCCGGCTTGTGCAGCTGTACATATTGTTCTAGCCTAAATACGGCACTGAAGTAATTTTTTTTTTAAAGTTATGTAAATTATGAAATCACGACTATTCTTGGTATCTTGGCCATTGCCATACCATTTAAATGCCAGAAGGCTAATCTAATGCGGGTTTCATACTGAGAAAGGTTAGTTGCGTATCCTGTACAGGACGTTGCAGAACCAACCCCAATAGCCCCTGGCTGTTGTGTGGGTTTTCTAGGCAAATTTACGTCCAGTAGTTTGCCATTGCTTCCTGGACGGTCGGTTTTCTTGATACCACTGTCGAAACCAATGCAGGGCGCATGGCCCGCAGCTGGGATCGAACCCGGCATCCCGGCATTACGAAGCGTTCGCATCGACTTAGCCACAGAGCCGACCATAGTGATAAAAGCAATAAAAGATATAAACGTTTTATTACTACTAGTTTTCTTTCGCCGCCCTCAGAAGTGTGTCGCTTTCGAAATGCTGCAACCATGTAAAGTGTACATGCCTAAATACAGTCCTAAAGTTATTATCTGAAGTTGTGTGAATTATACAATCACGACTGTTCTAGGTACCACGAAGAAGGTAGTTTGCCATTGCTTTCATTCTTGACAGTGACCATACTGGTAGAGTGGTCGTAGCCCTTGCCACTAAAATATGATCCTCTATTTACTATCTGGGAGCTTGCGGTCACGACCGACAACTTTCTTTCAAGCGGTTAGTCCACAGCCTGCTTCCACGGTACTACACTGAGGGTACTTCCCTTACAAACATCTGATAGAATTGAAACTAAGGACTTCAAAGGGGATGATTCTAAGAAAGGCGAAGAAATAAGAGAAATATCTGGACAACCACTTGTAACAGCCATTAAAAGAAAGCGAAGATGACAATATGTTACGACACATCACAAGGAGAAGACACAGAATCTTCATTTTCTTCGCGTTCATAAGCTCTAAACTCCGGCGGAGAGTTTTCATTG